ATATAAGGGAAAAAGTCAGAAACTTCGCAGTCGGAAAGTTTTCTAGCGATATGAAAAAATCGAAAAATCGCTGATACTTTTTTCATGTATCATTTTTTTTCTGTTTTTTCTCCGATTAAAAAAAAATGGCAGACTCACATTCAAAAGTGGTATTTTCTGATTGAACTCCCAGGATGCGATTGTCAAGCACTCGAAGTTTTGTGGAAAACTTCTTCTCGATTCTGAAATATATCTCTGAGTAATACAAACGACATTCACCCTACTTCTTTACAGCAGTTGGATCGACTTTGATATCGAGTTTTCCATAAATATTCAATATGTCCGACAAAGGCAAGTCTGCCTCGTACAGTCGCGGAAGCAGGTACCTCTCGGAACTGAGGAAGTTAGAGGTCAGCAGGGCAAAGAAAAAAAAAACTGTTGAGCGAGGTCTTCTGGAGTCCTGTCACCTCCGTGAACCGCCACAAACTTCTGCCAAAACCGCACCGACGTGGGCGACGGAGCTTTCCCAAACTTTCTATGCAGTTCGCTGAAAAATTAAACTTAAACCGACAAATACACCTTGAAATTGCATTTTTTGCAAAGTCGCAAAGACTTGAAACGCCTAGAAAAGTCAGAAAAACTAATCACCCTCCGGTTATCTTCGGAATAGAAGCAATGATCTCCCGATCTAAACTTTTCATGATAAAATCGCTTTTTTATTCTACTTCCAACGTATTTCTGCACAACTGTCATCTCGTAAAGGTAAGATACTTTCAGTTTATTATTTATATTTGATACACTGGTCAATCGGCTTATCCACAAAATCAGCTAACAAAGTTTACTCTCAAATTTCCTCGGATTTTGCTGACGGGGGGTCCCATATATGGTGCACTCCGATTCTACCCCCCTTCTCTCTGTTTTTGAGAGTGCTGAGGAAGATTTGGAGATATTCTGCCGGGAAGAACTCCGATAGCTATCTGCTATGCGTATCCGTTTTGTTGACTGACGGTGTAGATACCTCGATTGACCTTTGCTTGAGTTAGCGAGATTTTAAATGACCTATTAATGAACTTTAGCATAGTTCTTTCTTCTCGACGCATAACACCCAGTTTTCGCGATGTTGAATCCTAAAAATTCCGGATTAATTCTTACGCTTGTAAGCGTGAGCAAGAAAATAATAAATGCATTTGAAATGGCTGCTGAATACCCGATTTTTTCACAAACGTGATAGAATTTTTTTCATTTATACGGACGTTAAAGAGGACAATTTTGGTCTGTTCTATAGCCCTTTCACGGCTGGCTTGAAACAGCGAACGCGCGTTTTGACTTGCGCGGCCATGGTAGATCATGGTGGCCGTACATGCGCCTTTAAAAAGATCCTCATTTGATGAATTATTTTTGTTTCAACTGAATTTACCGTGTTATGAAGAAAAGATCAGCGAAAACTCGAACGGCGACTTTTCCGATTTTTTCATATCGCTAGGGAACTTTCCGACGGCCACCTTTCCGACGAATCTTTTTCCGACTTTTTTTTTCTAGATAAACTG